GGCTAAATTAAAAAGTGCAAGATTGAATTGACCGCCATACAATAGGTTTAGGACTCTTTGGACGGTTATTCCAATATGAATGAGTCACACTCGTTTCCACAGAAATTCAGCTTTGGAACAACACAACTTATAATCGCGTGCACGTATGACAATAAGTTTTATGTGACTAAAATACAAGTTGGGATTTTTTAGGGTATAATCTCATATTTATTCTACTAAGAAGAAATCAGCCAGCTTGGTTATTAAACAAACCCTCTTCAAGGAGAAGGAGCGCTACCGCACCAGTGTCAGAAATCAGACATTTTTGAGTTCAAATTGGAACTCCTAATTTCTGAAGACCCTGAAAATAAACTTAAGCAACTTGCGCATCAGCGATGACAACATCATCACCGAGCGCTCCTAGCTCAGAAACCACACAATGACAAACGCATAGAGGCCCACTCCAACTCATGAATCATAGACTAACCAAAGAAAGCACATGGGGATATGGGACACGTTCCTAGTTCTCATTAACTGCGTTTGGTTACCTGGATTTTTAATCATGATAGATTTAGATATAATAGGATATGAAATCTAAGGAATTTGTTATATAATCTATCTATTATTTGGTGAATCGTAGTAATAAAGCTGGATATTTTTACATATTACCATGTCTATTATTTTTTATGAATGTCATATCAGTGTAAATGAACATAAAAATTGCACAAACTGACACGATAAAAATTTCTCATCACACTCTTACCTACTACTTTTTTATTTGCTCATTTTTTTTTATTTTTCCCTCTCTTTTTTTATTTATTTTTTCACCTTCCATCATTCTCTGTTATTAAATAGTAAACTATACTAATATACCTAAAACATGTAGTAAATATAAATATTAAATATATATATATATGAAATTTATATTCATAACATAGAAATAAATTCGATTATATAAATAAAAATAAGAATAAATAAAAACGAAATTGTTGTTATATTTTTGTTATTTTGAATTTTTATATTAAAATTCAAATATTATTGATATTCATATATTATTTTAATTTTATTAGTTTAACAAGTTTGTTATTCGATAAAAATAACTTTTATATAAATATTAGAAATCCTATCCACCTTTATCCCACCTCCCCTATAGGATAATTTTATCCGGGTTATATCCTTCTTATATCCGGCTTTATCCTGTTTTGGCTAGGCGCCAAATACGAGATAGGATAAAATTTATCCTATTTTGAATTTTATCCTGACTACCAAACGTAGCTAAAGAGAATTATGCTTAGTAGTACAAAGTACGTGCAGGGGGACCAATATACATCAACATGAACGAACATTGTTGTTTTAATGTGAATGTTGCTGTACTTGCCAATGCCATTACAACAAAGCAAAATGCATATTGAAATCCACGCCTTTCTCCCACGAGCTTTTCCACCCAAGTAGTGACGGGTGTTGTTCGGCTAAGTTCGTATATCAGAAATTAAAATCAAACGTTAGGAAAACTAACCTGAAAGCAGTGCAAACAAATAAGCAAAATGTTGATCCGAGCCCAACGGAATAACGTCGTGTCCTTAAGACGAATTTGGCCCCTCAATCAGTATCCGAGGATATTGGACAATCGTCTCCCAGGATAGAACGGATCTCGTTCCTCCGAAGCGGTACGTATCCGGAGGACTCCTTCGAACGCAATTTTGCAGAACAACCGCACAAGTTGATGAAGTGAAAAATGTATAGAGTGCGTCGGGAAAAATGAATGCCACGAAATGATTTCTATTCTGAACTAAACTGTTAGGTCTTATTCAAGTGGCGAAAAATGAAGAGGTGCGAGTTTTCGTGAACAGTAGCGAAGGTTGACTTGAACCGGTTCGGTTCGTGAACAGTCGCGAAGGGCTTCAGTTTTCCGTTCGGGCGAACCGAACCTCACGAACAGACATGTTTATTTGTCCAATAAATAAATAAATAAATAAATTCTAAACAACGTGTCTGTTCGGAAAAAAATAAAAAACCGATAGAGAGTGGACCCGGAACCGAACCGAGTCGAGCCGGACGGTGGCGGCGCGCGCGAGGGGTGGACCGACCTAGCTTGACGTAGGTCCTCTCTCTTCCACAAAAGTGGGGTACCCTTTGGGACCCAAACCCATTTGTGAGGCTCAACTATTTGAACCCATCTCCCATCTCTCTTCACCCTATGTGGGACACTTTCAACCACACACTTCTCATTCAATTCTATGGGTTTTGGTTCCAAAATCCCAACAACGGGTGCTGTCACAGCTTCGCTGCGACGCCACACTGCATGAACGTGCATTGGCAAAACAGAAAAAATCTTCACAAATTGCCATTAACATATAATCTCAAGTTCGATTCCTCGCGTTCTTCTTTCATACCTATATATTGTTTTCAACGACTTTTTTTTTGTTATGAGTGTATCGTTCGAATGACTTAAACTTTTAGAATAATTGATTAGATACTCGGTTTTTCAACGATGTCAACCGCGCATTGAAGGACGAATTCTGGGATCAAGACAGAAAACAGGTGCTGCTTGTGATTTAACAGGCGAATTATTGCTGCTGTGCTCATCGTTTATGTCGACCACTTCATTGCGAAAGGCCCACGCAATTGCAAGAGTATCTGCATCTTATGTCCTGGAACATATGCCACATTATGTCTTCACATAAACAGAACTGTTTATATTATTTTTGTTGGTGCCTAATTTCCTTAAAAAGTACCAACTTTAGGTCGGGTTCCAGTTTTGGCCCAAATTTATTTATGTCTTATATAAAAGCGCAAACTTTAGGTCAGATCCCAAATATAGCCAAACTTTTTGTTGTCTGATAAAAAAGCCCCAACTTTTAATTGGTACCAAGTTTTCCCCATCTTTTAATTGGTACCAAGTTTTTGTCCAATGATATTATTCCATGTGTACCCAGCAAAAACTTGACGGAAACTCGACGAGGGCCAAAATTGGGACACGATCTAAACTTGGTATTTTTTTATGGGATAAAAAGAGTTTGGGGTAGAATTTGGATCCGAGATAAAGTTGGTGGTTTTTTGTGAGACAAAAAAAATTTCGAGTCAGAATTGGAACTTGAGTTAAATTTAGCATTTTTTTTAAAGGAACTGAGCCTTTTTTTATTTTTTTTTTGTATTTTTGGCATTCAATATTTTTTTTTTACGAAAATAATTTCCTTGGACATGCAACCCAAGTTGCAACTTAGTGTTTTTTACCTTGGACATGCAACATAAGTTTCAATTAGTGTTTCTTCATCAGTATTCAGGACCACTAGCACATGCGCTTCATCTCTCTATTTAATGCTTCAATGTATGAGTAGGTAGGAACAAAGTTGGTGGGTTCACAAAAGAAAAATCCCACCATACAATGTTTCCACCAATTACTGCTGAGATCCCAACCGAGCCATGAATTATGGAGGGAGAGATCTCAAAGCAACATGAACCACCCGTTTGCAACTTTGTATAGACCCAATTTAATGTTGGTAGGGTTTTGGTCAGTGAGTGATCGAGGGAAAGCGAGGCTGCGTTTCGAGATCGAGCAACGTACGGTTCTTGATTATGTCCACTTGTCGATGTCAAGCCAATAAATGACGAAGCGACCATGTGAAATCGGCCCCATCTAGGCAGTTCTCACTCTCTCGATCCACGGTCGAATCGTCGATCTAATGTTAGACGCCCTTTGAGCTTTTGCTCACAGTCTTGCACATTGCAGCATCTTTATCGAGCAACGCCAAATGGAGACCCTCACAAGCATTCTTGGCAATCGTTTCGCTAGCGCAATGGTATGGATTGCCATGATATACTGCTAAAAAGCTGTCCACCATGTATTGCCAACGTCATCAAGTAAATCGAGTTTAGCAGCAATTGAATGTACATAGTGTTGAAAATATGTCTCGAATTTGAGTCCAAAAATGAAGCTTTTAATCTGAATGGTTTCCTAGTTAGAGTAGGTTCTCTAGTTTGGATCCTGCTCTTGTCTATATATATAAGAAGTGCCTTCACAGTGAAGAGTATCAGAGAGGCGACTTCTTCATGAATTACACTTTGAGAGCTTTTAGTGCAGAAACCAATTAAATATTGTGAGTGAGATTTGTGAATTATTTCATAAAATTAAGAGATTATTTTGTGAGGAAATGTAAGGCTAAATACTGTGTGAGTAATTGAATATAATAAGGGTTGGGAAACACTAATAGTGTTTGAATGACTTGAGTGTGGTTGTAATATTCGTTCTATGGCTTGATCGATAATGGAATTTTTTTGCTCCTCTCCCCATAAACGTAAATCATATCGACTGAACCACATAAAATCTTGTGTCCGACTTAGTTTCTTATTCTATCTATTTTATTGTTCGGTCACTTGTTTTTGCATCACATAACATTGCTCATTTCGCAAACTCATGACCCATTGGTCTCGGAAATTTGAATCAGCACACAACCAAATGTAAGGCAACATAATTACATGTCTCTGACTATCTCTAGACCATAGGATCAACATTAGCATAAATAAGTGCAGCCAACCAAATAGTGCTTACTCATACTGTCGACCACAAATCTGTTATGCGGAATGAATCATGGAGCGCATTCGGTAGGTGCACCAACCTGTACCATCCTAGTAACCTTCATTTCCATCTGTTGAACAGTTGCAGTTGATTCCTAATAAGTGATGGAGATCAGGAAGAAGAACAGGAGCAAAGCAATGAACCACACAAGGTGGCTTGACTTTAGTTTTTGCACCAAAGTTGGTGTCGTCTAGTTGCGAAACTTGTGATGAGCGTAGATTGTGATTTCGTTGCAGAGAAAAACTTTACAACATAGGACGAGGGCGAGAAACCATACCCCTGACGTAGTTCGAACAGACATGACCAATTGCATGTTCCGGATCTTATGAAACACGTCGAATGAAGCACAGTTTGAGTCCACTGAACTTCCGGTATATTATCTAGCGATCTATGAGTTGCGGTGTGAAGAAATGTCTCTAGATTTGACAGCTTGGAAAAAGAGAGGTGGTTGAGGATCGATCCACACGTCATTTGAAATTGTAGTTCATAATGTGATCACTTACATGATTTTGCAGCTGGAGAGCAAGACCAGCTGTATTTCTAAACGGTGAACAAGGAAAGATTCTTGATGCATCAAGATATCTCGAGTATAAAAATGGCTACGAGTTGGATTTTCGCAAAGAAAACCATAGAATAATGTAAAGAACAAAAAAATTACATTGCACACTCTAAGATGGTCCCTGTATATTCACCTCAAGCTGAGAGCGAAGAAGAACTGCACTCGCCTAGCTGAAAGTCTCCTGAGCCAGTCTTTTTTTCCCAAGAAACTTTGTAGCACAGCTCTCTCCAAACCGGGGTGAAAAACTTACTAGCTTAGCGTGAAAAGACATGAAGCTATTGTAAACAAATAGTCTGCTGAAAACCCTGTTATCTGAAAGGCCATACAATTATATGCTTTGAGAAATTCGACAAAGATTAAGTCTGCATTCCAGATGGCCATCTTCAAGGAGATATGAGCCAAAACAACCGCACAAATAGATTTCTGTTCCATCCAATTCTGCAGCAAAATATAAAATTATGGAAAACGGACCCGAAAGAAAGCCTAAGCTTCATGTATCCACAAATCCTTCACTTGTCCAATCCTTGGCATGACGGTATTTGAATGAGATGGATTCATGCCTGAATTAGTAAGTAGGATCACCATTGTTGTCACCCTCTTGGGGGTTTAAGAAATTCCATCCCTCAGAGAAATGTCAGTATCACTAATCAATTCCAATCATTTCATATGTTCGTCCATGGAGTAGAGGATGAAGCAAGACCAAGTATAATTAGAGAATCTAAAATTCCTCACAAATGAAGCTTCATTTTTTGAGATGCAGATAGCGATGAATAACTCTTTTCCAACAGCAACTGGCGATGGAACCTTTTTATCACCTTGACCAAAATTATGGAGTATAGACTGTCACCAACGAAAAGTAAACAAGTTCAAAAACAACTCGGGTTCCTTTCTTTGCTCCTGCCATGCTGAAATTTGTACATAAAAAATCAATCATCAGTTTGCAGTGGTTTATATGATCATAGGTTCATAAAATATCTTTCTTCACATTAAAAGCTTGTAATATGTTGAACTATCTAAAACGCTCAAGGGTTGCGACTTATTGATTATGGGCTATGAGAAAAGATACTTAGAATCCCTGACTTTTTTTTTGGGTCAAAACTTAGAATCCTTAACTGAAATGATAAGCAGTGAGACAGTCATCTACTGAGACAAAAACCATAATCAATCGGATGATATGAAACTATAGTGATGTCGCCTAGATCAAAGTCTCGAAGACATCAAGTGACAGCATACCTGAGCCAACCCCCACTGCTTCTCATGAAGTAGAAAGAGCACGATTGCCAACGAGCAACCAATCAATATCAGATTCAGAAACTGCAGCATAAACATAGTCATCAGATATCACTTGCTCTCTCTATCACAGAAGCCCAGCTTCATGCACATTTTGTTGAGCCACCCCAAGAAAGTTATAGCTTGTGATTGTGCCAGGATCAGCTGATTGATCGCCTCATGCTGTCCTGCTTCGTATTCCTACATCGTACATATTAACAGAAACTGAAGTGCTGCTAGATCAGCCATTTATATTTTCTCTATCTTTGTGTTCCCGAGACAGCTTGCGTGTCACAAGGCGAACTTACCAGCCAATCCAAAAGGTTTGTCTTGAGGACTGTTAAGAGAAAATCATGTTTTCCCCCTCAAACCATCCGCTACATTTCAAACTTCCAGCAGAGTTGGCAGCCACAATCTTATATGTCTTCCGTTCCCAGCAAACACTTGAATCAAAACTATTTTTTTTTTAAAACTCAAACCATCTGCAAGATCTTCAAACTTCCAGCAGAATTGGCAGCGACAACCATATTTGTCTTTTGTCCCCAGCAAACACTCGAAACGAAATTACCGTCATCATTGCCAATCTTGGTTCCAGAAATGGGATCAGAAGATCCAAATGCATGAGAAGTGATTGGCATCGGTAGGGATCTATAGAAACTATAAACCTGATAAAACAACTGATTGTATTTAGTCAGCTTATTCTTCATTTTCACAATATTACACTAGAATATCTTTGGAGACTGCCAGGAGAATGTCAAATAAAGGAAACATCAAAATATGACCTGGGTTTAGACAGTACAGACCTCTAACAAGGACTCCAATTGGTTCATTGATATAGTTCTGTTTTTTCCTTCAAGAAATCTCTTAGAAAAGGATGACTCTCTCTTAGGTGGCTTATCTTTGTCCGGCTGAATAAAATGCATCTTGGTCCAATAATAAAAGTTCGGGTAATCTTAATAGGTGTACTACGAACATGAACAGAGTAAAATAACACCACTTATCATTAATAGCAGCAGAAATACCGGAATTTCCATCCCCTTTGCTTTTATAATGGTCCACAAATAAATTAGAACACCATAATCTGAGTCTCAAGCACTGTAACCATTGACATCTAACTTTCAACAGCTTATTGCTGATTTTGAACTTCTTTCATGAAATTTGGCAGTTTTGTAACCAATTTACTCACTACTTATCTAAGAATACACATCGTACACACAAAAGCTGAGACCAAAGTAGCGTACCTCATTAGTCTCTGAGCCGCATGCTATGTATCCATCCATAGTGGACAAACCAACAAAATTCTGCAAAACCAGAAGCTCATGCTTAAGATAATGAACCAATCGTATGCTTTAAAATGTCAATAGATATAGTGTAGAGAAAGCAACCTTCTCATTAGTATGACCCCGATATGTTAAGGTGCAAGCATTTGAGGACAACCCATCTGAGTTCGCTTTCTTTAGATCCCATAGCTTTAAGGTGTTGTCCGTGGATGCAGAGACAATGCTTTCAGAATCCAAAAATTTAATATAGCTGACTGTTTTCCCATGGCCAGCTAAAGTGCACCAAGGAATCTGAGTGTGCCGAAGATCATAGCAATAGATTTTGTTATCAGCACATCCGAAAACCAACAGATTAGTCGAGTGAGGAGAAAACTGAACACAGCAGACATTGGCTGGGTTCCAAATGGTGCCGACCGAGTTTTTCTGCAGAAAATCACATTAATGACCTCATTCTTCCTTTTTGAATTAGAAAATCCTCACATAAAATTCCAAGACGATAAATTAACTAAAAGTCAAAGCAAGAATCTGCGTCTACGCTGCTTGAACTTATGGTTACAGCTTAAATAAATATTAACGGGGCTTTCAAAGGCCAAGAATGATCAACTGAGTTCATAAAGTTTACTGAATTTCCTTGCCAGTCTGATTCCCCTAATGTGACTCAGTCCAAGCTTCTTTTCTATGGAAGCTTTCAAGCATGCATAAATTGTAACTAGGGAGAAGATTATGTCCCTTTTTCAAGAAGATATTATACTGCTGTAAAGGAATGTTAAAATAGATACAAGAGATGGCATGCCTCATTGATTGCCCACAGCTTCAAAGAACAATCATCACTGCCGCTCGCAAACTTCGTAGGGTCTGCTCGAGAGAAGTCAACAGACCAAGCCCTCTTCTGGTGCTCCATATGTTGTGAAAATCCTTGAGCAGTGCCCACATCCCATATCTAGGTTCAATCAATGTTAAAGTAATCATATGCAGAATTAGGATGGCGAATAACCAGGACCAAACATTTTGATTGCTGTTTACATCAGTTCTTTTTGGATCTTACAGCACTAAATTTTGAAAGTCTAACAACTAGAATCAAGAAAGTAATACCAGGTTCGCATATGGTTTTTAACAGTAATTTGCTGTTTCATCAAACTCCCAAGAGACAGACATCTCAACACTAAATTGGTTCCCACAACGGGAGGTCATTTAGATGTCCGTGAATGCATACAGTTCCTAGTCATCATAATTATGAAGGAACCGTTTAATGATATATTCTATAGAATCTAGTCAAACGTCTAGTCAGACAAGAGAGTAATACCAGGTTCATAGATAGTTTTTTACAGTAATTTGATGTTGCAGGGAACTTTCACGAGACAGACATCTCATCACTAAATTGGTACTTAAAATAAGAATACATTTAGATGGAATGCATAGAGTTCCTAGTCGTCATAATCAAGAAGGAACCGTCAAATGATGCATAGAATCAACAAAACTGAATTCATTATGCTTCACACACCTTAATTGTGCCATCATAATCAGTTGAAGCCAGGTAGTTTCTCATGTAGCTGTTCCAACAAACACAGCTAAGCTTTGAATTGTTTGACATCTCGACTGCTGGATAATGTAGGTCAATTGAGTCATCTAAAAGAGCAGCAAACTCGTAGATTTTTATCTTCTTGGACACACCAGCAGCTGCAATATAATCCTCGTCACGGTCAAAGCCTATAGATCGAATCACATTTGCAGAATTCAGAAGATCTCCGCTTCTCAATGCTCCCCGTGCTTCAAACTTACTATACCGAGCAAACTTGCATAAACCGTCATAAAATTCTTTTTTAAGATCAGATGGCATTTGCTTGACACTGAGGTCCTGATTTACATGCCATACCCCAGACCATCTCTCTCGATTGCTTAGCAATCCTTCGTCAGGATGTGCCGCCGCAGAGCTTCTTCTAGTTTGTGACTGAGATCTCACAAAAAAGTAAGCATCCTCAAGCTGCCTTAAATTTCTTGGCAAGTTTGTTTCACCAGTTGGGAGCGGGTATGGTCTCCTGAGAATTCCGGAAGTCATGAGATTTTCGGAAAGGAACTCTGTCGGCATCTCACTATGCAAAGAGGAGGTTAATGAATAGGATCTTCTCTCCATTTCTTTAAGATCTTCTTCGATGTGTCTTATATCTTCTGCTAACTTGGTGGCATCCTTCAATTTTTTAGCTTTAAGTGAAACCAAAAAGTGAAGTAATAGCTCTGATTCTGCATCATTTTCACTGGTAGATATCCCTGGATGGTCGTTTTGGTGCAATTCATGTGATTTTGATGAACGTAATAATTCCGACTGTAGGATTTCCCTGGTGAAAAAAAAAAAAGCTAATCGTTTTGAATTTCAATTTGTAGTTGCTTATTTGGAGAAAAAATATAAAACACCGGCTAGAAGGTAAAAGTAAAAAAAAAAAATTGAGAGCCAACCAGGTCAAAAGCCTTTCTTGGGTGGTCAAGCAATTTGAGATTAAAATTAGCATATACCACTGAAGAAGCTGCATCTCTCAGCGCATATTTCTTGGTCAAATTCATGGATCAATTTGTAATTATTTACCTCCAAGTAGGATTAGGTGAATCGAAGGTGATCAACGTACTCACCAAGAATGCATTATAACAAAAGCATAAGCGATCTTCCTTTCCTTCCCCTTCCAGCCATGGAATAATGGAGCAAAAAGGGCAGACATTAATAGGTGTGCAGAGTGTCATGGTGTGAGCTCATATCACTCGCTCACAAAACCATGTGCAACACTCTGCTTCAGAGCTAGATCAAAATGGGAGCATTTAATGAACTTGCAAGATACTCAGTCACGATCACTTAATCTGCAGTGACAATTTAAATTATGGCAATAAAGATGGGAATGTCATTGCTATATTAGGGGCAAGATCAGAGTTCTTATTGGTTCTGAATCTCTAGATGACAAAATATTTTGAACCACAGGTGTTGGGTGCTAGGTTCACTAGGACAACATATGTAAGGACCTAAACATTCACTTAATACCTCAAACTATTACTTAAACATTTACGAGACTCCATATTCATAATGCCGTGAACAAAGCAGTACTCGGAGATTACCTCGTCTTTGGACGGGAATCATATTCAGGATGAAGAAGCCAAAGACAAAACCCAGCTTCCTTTGGGTTCTCCGAAAGCAAACTTGGCGGCAGAATCCGGTGACTCAAGTCCAACATTCTCACACACTGAGCTTCCCATGACTCAAAGCAACAGAGCAACTGAGACAAACAGCTAAATTTAGTACGGACTCTTATGTCCCAAAATAGCGCCCCTCAAAAGACATGCAATCTCAGTTTTATCATAGAAAAGAATCACAATGACTAAAAAGCAAGGGAGATGTTCATCCACTAAACTTTTTCTGTTGATTGATGTCAGGCCGAGATCATACGTAAGCTGGCTCATAGAGGAATTTAGTAGGGAGAAGAAATGGCCATTATCTTTTTCCTACTGGAGAGCAAATATTTTCCTTTTCCACTTTAAGTTAAGGCAGCTCATTCATTGACAAAAGCCAAATACTCAAAACTCAAATAACGAGCATCGATAAATATGGGTTCCCAAGCAAGCAAGGTGATCTCTGATCCTTTGTCGAGTGAAATGACACCACTATTATCCGTACTAGGTGCAATCTCCAACAGGTAAACAATCTTCATTAGTTCAACCAAGACAGAGAAGTTTGTGTTAAGGTGGCTCAATGCATGGATAACGACTGGATGGAAATTTACGGAACAATGTGCCAGAAATCAAAAGTGTGCGAGGTTCAAATTGACAAAATAGTATCTATACCTCAAAAAGTAGGATGCCGAGGCTGTATATGTTAGATGCAGCAATGCAGCCCATTTCAGTGAGCTCCTCTGGACTAGTATACCATCTCTCCTCCAACTGAGACAGAACAGATCGAATTTGGTGGCTCGAGTTTGTATTACATGGCCCAACGGTATGTGTTGATTCTGGACAACCCGTGACATTAGGATCTAACTCAGCAAGTATCTGGCTTCCAAAGCCTTGACTGGAGCTGAACTGCCGATATGAAAGAGCTTTTGTGTCTTGACCAAGTTTGTGTTGCTTTTCACCTGAGACGCAAAAAGGTAGCTCACCCTGCTTCCACGGCCTTTTCCTTTTCAAATCCTGATTAAGGACAGTTGCTGCCTCTCTGTTGGCCGATGAACCAATATATCTGATTTTGTTCAATGAAAGCAAAACAAAGCGGGAAGGCCTTAAATCAAGCAAAACGACACCTTGTGAATGAGCAAAATCCACCAACTCTACTATCTGCCTGAACAATTGCAAGCTCTCGAGTTTGTTTATCTTGCGGTACCCCGGTCTGAGCAACTCTCTTAAGTTAGTCCCATCATGCGAAATTCCCAATCCAGACTTATTGACACCATGCAGTGAAGGCTTGTCGGTGCTTGGGATCACTTCCAATGATGCCGGAGAAGCTACTTTAGCTTCAGTAATCAGCTTCTCAGGTTCCCAGTTTTTAACCCCGTCAGCGGAACAGCTGAAAATCCCCTTTCCCTTCACGATTTTCTCAGCCTCCCTAGATTGTTCACTGGATAACATCTGCTCATCGATTTCCCGGATCAGTAAAGGCTTTTGAACCGGTAAATGCGAAGGCATTCCCACATTTTCCTCACTGACCCTTGCCATCATTGGAGAGCTATCTTGGGAGCCAAGACTTCTACTCAGCATTTGAGGAAGATGCTGTAGCTGGCGTTGCCTAAAAACAATATGGCCGCTACTCAAAGCCATCTGATGCATATTCTCCACCGTCAACTCCTCGACCACGGGCCTAGCATCCTGAACACTAAAGTTAGCACTCCCAGCAGTAATGGGAGGCTCGGAACAAGAGGAGGATGTCACACAAGCCCTCGGATCTTTCTCATCCATATTATCCAAAGAAGAGCGCGAAGAGGTCTCTGGCCACTTGTTCTTCATATATGGATCAAGAAAACGATCCTCCGGCATCAAAAGCTTATCAGACTGTCTCCTACCCAGTTCTCCATTCCCAGAAACAGAAAATGCAAATCTTTTCTCAGCTGGCAGTTCCATACAGCCCAATTACTCAGCCTGACCTTTGCCGCATTCAATATACATGATTCCTCATGCAAGTGACCTATCAAGACCGGAAATCGCAACTAAAAAACAAACCCAGATAACAGAGAGAGAGAAAGCGAGAGAGAACTTGCCTGATATGGGAAGATAACTTTCTTCCAAAAACATCACGAACAACCATTCCACCAATTAGATATTCCAAATATTAAATAATTGGGAAAAAAAGGAACAAAAAAAGGAAGACTTAACAAAAGGGTCTGTCTCTATCATTGCCTTGGATATTTATTTCTTCTTTGCAAGTAAGTGAACACAGTCCCTCCACATCATTCGCCCCTTGCACCGTGGATATTTTCAGACGAGTTATAGGATACCATGACCTTTCCCACTCCTTGTTCGTATTATATATTTCAGTATCGAGAATTTGACCAAGAGGGTCGTCTCTGGTTGAGGTCAGATTCCATCCTTTTTCTTTTTCTTTTTCTTTTTTTCTTCTTCTGCAGATGGCGGGGAAGGTGAAAGCGCAGAGTGCCACGACGGTCTTCGTTAGGACAGAGTCATCGTTCTTTTTTCTTTTTTGGCGTATAATGAGTTTGCAGAACGCGCCGCTCTGCCCCTTGGGCTCTCCGAAGCGCGCATGGACGGAGCTGAAAGGCATAATGGGTTGGATAGTCTAAAATGGGCCAAATCCGACCCATGATTCACAAGGCCATAAGGTGATTATTTGCCTCTTATTATAAATAATAGACCCCCCTTAAAAAACCAACGTGATTCACGTATGCGAATTAACACACCTTTTTGATATAACGTCTTTTCTGATTTTCTTTCGGAACGCAAGTGGGTACGAAAAACGATCAAAGATCACTCTCAAGTGCAAAGTGATATTTAATTTGTGGCAATACCGGGTATGTTTATTATATGATATACCTGTACGATCGGTGATACAAGTTGGTGGTTATTGGGCATGTTTTTCGCGTTGATCGAATACGTTTCGAATACGTCGATTGGGGAATGAGTTTTCCCAACATTGGTATTAGAGCCTGCTTACTTGTTTCTCGATCATGCATGTGTATGGTCTTTGAAATTCAAGTGTATACCGCATGTTTTTCGTTTCGATCTCGTTTTGGCTCGTTTTCTTCACATCGACATATTGTTCATGTATGTTTCGATTTGATTTTTTCGTCAAAACTCAATTTGGATTACACAGACAAAAAGTGCTTGTCAAGACGAGTAAAATGAGGGGCGGCGTGTCGCCGGAGGAGGCCGCTCGTGCCCTCACGCGTGGCTATGGTGAAGCGGCGCCTCCGGCGTCGTAACCTCCATCAGCGATGCGTGGATCCGGGTTGACCCGGATCCTGACCGGACCCGACCCGGTTAACCGTTGACCAGACTCGATTAACTGTTAACCAGTCAATTGTCGGACCGGTTTAGACTAGTCAGAATGACCCCAACGCGATTTTTTGGCCCATACAAGCTCATTTGAACTCCGATTTGGGCGTTTGGTATTGACGTGTTCGTATCGGAATGCTCTACGTTATGGTATATTCGTATGACATGTTTGCTGCACTTATAAATGTGAAAATGTACAATGAACCCTATGTATGCGTACTTTGGGTTATATTCTTTTGCATTTTCTCTTGTATTTCTCTATGGTTTTCAAAATACAAGTGCTTGGTCACATGTATATGAATAAGCATTATCTATCTTAATGTATCATAGATTATGAGTAATTCTTTTGTTCTGCATTCGTTGTAGGAACAATAGTACATACGAGACGCACTCCAATAATCCCAAGAACGGCAACTCAAAATGAGAGGCTTGAGAAGCTTAGAATCAAATTAGCTCTTTGTCGATGGAACGCTGGTGATGACATGATGACACACATCATCAAAGTCAACAAAATGATATAATATATCATTTGGAACGGTTTCATAATGCCAGAATATGTGATGGTCAGAGCCCTAAAATGCACTATTCCCGAGGAGTTGGGAAGAATGCTTGATAAGGTTAGGGAAACCTTAGAGGATCCGAGTTATAAGATGTTTATGGAGTATTTCCGAAAGAGTTCATAAGAGTCGGGGCAAGGAGAACGTCAACCCTTGCATTGAATGGGTCTAAAAAAAAATCGTGGCCAGAATCTAGGGGTTTTCCTGGAACCTCTATTTTTGTGACAAAGAAAATGAAATTCCTTATGGAATTTCATGAGTCTTTTCTCATCTATGTATTGCATAAGTACACTTGATGTTGTTCCTTTAGGATTTAGAATTACTTGTGTATATGTTTCAAGTTGATATTACATGTTCTTGAATATTCGTGAATATGTTATGAAATATATGGTTATAGAAATTTGTGACCTTTTATTTGATATTGCCATATTATATGGTATGTTATATGAGAAGTTCTTAAAAGTTTGTATAACTTTTGAAGAACTAAATTTTTTCTTTACATAAATGATTATGTTAATGATAATTTCAAATTAGGATTCTTAGATGATGATTGGGAACATAGTGACCTGTCGACTCTAAAACCTTTTGTGAAATTATTCATTAATGTGATTAGTTTATGTAATTATGATGCTGATGAAGCATCAAGATAGGCATTAATAATTAGTGCGTATGTATTTGAAATGTTTAGATACAATGGCTTCTGCAACTAAGAATATAGCGGCTAAACTTAATAAGGGAGAGAAATTGAATGGCAACAATGATGAGATTTGGAATCTCAAAATTCAATATATGCTGGAAAAGTAAGAAGCACTCGAAGCTTTTAATCAGGTTATGGAAGAACCTGAGGATGGGACTAGTGCTGCCCAGCACAAAAGGGATAAAGATGCCTTTACTGTGCGGAAAAGGAAGAACTCTTTTGCTTTCATTACATTGCTAAGCAGCATGGATAATGATATCATGCGAGAGTTTGAACGTTTTGATAACGCCAAAGACATGTGGGCCGCACTAGCAACAAAATTTAATCGAACTTATGTGACCAAACTAAGACAACTCACCATTCGCTTTGACTTATATAAGATATTTTATGGAAAGATTATGAAACAATATTTAAGGCAGATGTCGAATATGATAAGTGAGCTGAAAGATATTGGTCACATGCTCACTGATGAACAGAAAGTGCAAGCAGTAATCCGTTACTTATCTCAAAGCAGGGAGTACATGAAGATCCACTTGACCCACAATGAGGGTATCAAGACCTTCGAGGATGCTATGCGACATTTTGAGCTGGAAGAGGATCGCCTCTTGGCGGCTAAGCCAGAAACTGATATTTACTTTGCTAGTTCTAGCTCGGATGGAGTTTCGGGCTCCAAGCAAAAGCACCTTGCTGGGTCAAAGAAATGGAAAGGCAAGGGAGCAAGTCCTTCGGGGAAGAAACCAAGGCTCAACCAATGGGAGAAAGGAAAACGTCCTTTCAAGAAGAACATTTCAAGGGTGAAATGTTACAACTGTGGCAAGAATGGTCACTTTGCTCGTGATTGTGGCGAGCCAAAGAAGGTAGAAATGCTTAACATTCTTGAGAGTGCTACTTATGTGTATAGTTCAATATTTCTAACTAAATCTAATCCTTTGTGGACTGTAGACTTGGGAGTCACTGGCCATGTAGCGAAGGATATAAAAGCCTTCGTGGAGTTCCGACTAGTTCCAGAAGGAACAAAGTGGATATATATAGGGAACAATAGGGGTGAGCAACTTGGACCGCCCAAACCGGGACCGGACCGACGGGTTTGATCCGGTTCTCGGGACTATCGGTCCGGTTCCCGATTCCTAAAAGCGGAACCGATTTCCAGGCGGTCCGATTCCCGGTTCCAAGGGAGAACCGGATTGGACCGGACCAACCAGATCGGATCGACTATTTAATATATATTTTGTTATTTTTTTCTTTAAAAAAATTAATAAAATGTGAACTAAACTCTAAGTGAACTTCATTATCATAAATTCATTGATAAAAATTAGTAAAATGCGAATTAAACCCTAAGTGAACTTCATTGACATAAATTCATTGACAAAAATTAGTAAAATGTGAACCAAACCTTAAGTGTTTAACAAAAAAAAAAAAACTAAACTCTAAGTGACCGGTTCCCGGTCCTAGAACCAACCGGTCCGGTCCGCGGTTCCCAAAATTGAGAACCGGTTCTCTCGGTCCGGTTCCCGATTCCACCTTGGAACCGGACCAGACCGGGAACCGATCACCCCTAGGGAACAATTCTAGAGTGGAGGTAAGAGGCATTGACACCTATTAACTAATGTGCGGTGGACACATATTGTTCCTACATGATGTGTTATTTGCTCCAAAAATTCGTCAGAACTTCGTTTCAGTGTTGATTTTAGTAAGACTTGATTTTAATGTAAACTTTCATAATAGTGGTGTAAGCTTGTCTTTAGGTACAAGTTATTATGGTTCTGGATATTTTTTCGATGGTTTCATTGTATTTAATGTTAATTATTGTGAAGTTAATGTTAGTTATTCCTTATTTACATCATCTGATTCTTATGAGAATGATGTGAATGTGTAGCATGCTAGACTTGGTCATATTGGCCAACAAAAAATGAATAGATTGGCCAAAGATGGCTTGTTGGGTAATATTAAAAAGATTGATTTGCCCATATGCGAGCATTATCTAAAAGGAAAAACAACGCGAAAACCATTTGGAAAAAGAACAATAACTGAGTTTCCTTTGCAATTAATTCATACAGACATCTGTGGTAAGAGCAAGGCACGGAGCTATTTATTTCATCACATTTATTGATAATCATACTTGATTCGGACATGTCGATTTGATTTCTCATAAGTCCGAGGCATTAAGTTGCTTTAAAAGATTTATGAGCTTAGTAGAAAATCAATTAGATGAAAAAATAAAAGCATTGAGATCCGATCAAGATTGAGAATATCTATCTTATCAGTTCAGAAATTTATGTGATGAAAAGGGAATAGAAAGGCAACTGACTATTTCACATACTCCTCAACAAAATGGTGTTACAGAAAGGAGAAACAGAACTTTAATGAAATGGTTAGGTCGATGATGGCACAAGCTAACTTACCTATCATCTTTTGGGGTAATACTTTATTAACTGCTGCCTATATACTTAACCATGTGCTTTCTAAATCAGTTGCTTCTACTCCATATAAGTTATGGACAAGTAAAAAGCCAAATTTAAGCATTCTAAAATCTTGGGGTTGTGCTGCCTATACTCGTGAGTCCTCTCACAAGTACGAAAAATTAGGCCTAAGAGGCAAAAATAATATTTTCATAAGATACTCAGAGCACTCAAAATGGTATGTGTTCATAGGTGAGCAAGAAAGCGGAAGTATAACTGAATTTGAATTATGGGATGTCACATTCTTAGAGAATGAATTTCCTAAAAGGGGTGAAATAGGTGGAGATTACTCACTATACAAATCTGTGGATCGTGATAGTGAAGTCAGTGGGAGCATTATGACAAGTGGGGAGTTGAATGCAAACTAGTCTCAATTGCAACCACTTAATGAGACGACACCACCATTATTTGATTCGAATGGGAGCGCAATGGAGCGCGGTGAATCATCAGGAGTACAATATTCCATATGATAGTCAAGCCATAATAGGATTCCCCTTCAACGTTTTAACATCGAAGGAGAAGCTTTTATG